AAAATAAGTATAGGTGATCCATCCAACAACCTCCTCCTTGTTCACCAGATGAAGTGGCAAAGAGAGCTGCTTTTAAAGTATGGTGGTGAAATTTGCCTACTGGATGCAACATACAAAACTTCATGTTAATTGCCCTCCCCACATTCTTTCTGTGTGTGAAAACCAATGTAGATTACTGTGTTGTTGCTTCTTTCTTCTGTGGTTCAGCTGGAAAATGCAGATGCCATTAATGAAGCTCTACAGCTCATTAAGGACTGGAACCCAACATGGAACCCTGATTTCTTTATGGTGGACTTTAGTGAGGCAGAGATCAATGCCATTGAAAGGCTGTTTCCAAGTAAGCATGTAAACATATACTGGTAAATATTGATAATAACCATTTTATGACCATTTTCTTTATTTCATGTGGGAAATATAGAGGCAATACTTATTAGGAATAACTTCTCCCCCCCCCAAAAAAAGAAAAAAAAATAGAAAAAAAAATTCTTTCTTACAGGACTAACACAAAAATAATGACAATAAATTATTGCCAATTACCAGTAATTCTCCAGACATTCCAAAATCATTACTTTAATTTCATGAAAATATCAACAGTGTTCATACTTGTCCTGGAAAACCTGGAAAGTCCCCAAATTTTATTTTGACATTTCCACAACTGGAAAGTCCTGGAAAAAGGCTTCTGGTCCTAGAAAGTTTTGGAAATCTTTTAGAATCAATTAAAAAACAAGAAATGTGTAGATGATGGTAAGGATAATTAACATTGAGATCTTGGAAGCAAAAGGGTCAATGTATATTTTAGATTCCTGGAAAAAATCAATGTTACTATTATAACAATAATGATAAAAATAATAAATTACTAGTATTATTATTATTATTATTATTATTATTATTAGCATTATTAGTATTATTTTTAGTAGTTGTAGTAGTAATAGTATTATTATTTTACTCCATGGCTCACAGGTCATGCTAGGCGCCCTTCGTTGGTAGTTTAATTTTTAGCATACAATAGGCCTTGTGTTAGCTGAAGTGGTTGGCAGCATGTATTCTCTTATCAGAGAGATTTTACAACTCAGTTTTATAACTGTTCCAGGCTGTCTTGCGTATATTTGTGATTTCCATCGAGAACAAGCATGGGTACGGTGGATCAACAACTCAAAGAATGGCATTAACAAAGGCAAGAAAGACAACCTCCTGAACAGTTTGCGAAACCTTGCAAGAACTTCCACAGAAGGGGACTTCAATTAAGCACTTAGAGATCTTCAAGACAGTGAACTGTGGAGGACCAATACAAGACTCCAAAAGTGGATGAACACAACGTGGCTTCCCGAAAGACAGGGAAGTGTATCCGTTGCATTCATTATAATAATTGTGGAATTATCCCTTATAAATTATCCAGCAACAATTCAAGATTTTTGGCTTAAAAATTACACACATCTTATTATGTTCACTCAAAATCCTTGTTACTCTGACTTTAAACATCAAACAGGCCATCTCCTTGGATGATGTCATTTTGGGCCATGAATCATTCAGCATGAGTCTGAGATGAGTCCAAGATGCTCTTACAAGGAGATCCGCAAAGTGAAAATCAGATTACATGCAGCTTATATTCATGAAGTTTACTTGGACACTGTTTCTATTGGCAGCGCTGGGTTTGGGCATACAGGAAGGACCACTTCAATGTGAAAGTGAACACTACCAATGGTGTGGAAAGAAAGAATAGGACATATAAGCACTAGTTTCTTGCAGACAATAGAGACAAGACCTTAAGTGGTGTCATCACAGTTTTAGTGACACAATTTCTGCCAAATGAGTACAGAAGGTAAGGAATCAAAAGCTCATCTTGACATTAGATCTCGGTGAGTTGTATATTGATATCACATGACTATGATTTTAGGCCTAAGGTGTTTTCAGAGAATGCAGATATATAAAAGTTTTTTTTCTACAAGTGAGAAGGATGTATAAAGGTGTCATGCTTACTTTGGGATGAAAATTGCCTGTAAGAATTTCATGGATGATACTTATAGACCCACATTTAATCCATAGGTTATATTCTACAAGTTCAAATTGAAATACTTAACATTTAGGAGGAAGCTCAAGCTGAATATTCGAATGTTGACCGTCGGTGTACTGTCATCACACAATCATCTTAAAATTGTGAAATATGTACATCAATTTATTTAATACAAGTTTGAAGGCTTATCATGTGATAAACTTATGATTAAGTACCTCTTCAGAAATTTTTATACATATAAGTTTAACACAAATGCAATTAAAATTAATACCTATCTTTCTCGAGTATTCTGATGTCATTGTTCTTCTGCTCACTTGGCAACTACGAGGTTTAGGTCGATGGTGTGTAAGATTTCAGAGGTGTTGCCAATCAATCAGATCGACCGAAACCAGGTTGATAACTTACGAACCGGCCAAACATTTCGTTAACAGCGCCATCGATAAAAGTATCATTACAGTCCAATAAAGGACCTGTTTTTCTGTTCAAATCTGGCAGAAACTGGCTCAGACGCACTACGCGAACTTCCAACACTCGAGTACATTGTGAGTACGCGTCAACAAGAAAAAGCAGAAGTCATGTTGTAAACTGCGGATACTCATGCAAGATGCCGCTGATATGTCGTGGGCTCATCTAGTTTAGGACGATGATATATTGCTTTCCCTTGGACAACGCGGGATTCAGCTATCCTTTCGCGTCCCTTCCAAAATTGAATGTGTTTGGGAATCCACACCATAGTTTCATTTAGTATATAACAAGTGCACTGGATCTTTTAAAAGTTCTGTTACCGAGCAATTCAACGATCGAACGAAACAGCTGACAGACCTGAATGGCACACCTGGCAGATTGTCGATGTGTTAGGAAAGACAGTGTTGTATGCAACTGGGCCCAAGGTTGTTACAGAGCCATCTCAGTGACAGGTATGTAGCATGCATTTAAATTTAGGATAATGGCAATTTAATAAATATATTTTAATTTAACATTTTTAATTCTTATTTTTACACGGTTAACTCGTCACATATAGCTGGCATTTCTGCTGGGTTGAGTTCAATTGGTGATTTAAGCATTACCCCCTGCAGGGCTGTCAATAATTTTTCAGGCAGGCAGGGAAATGAAAAAGTAGCTGGGGTTTTAGGAGTCTGCTTGGGGGAGAAGTGGGAAGGGGTAGGAATGAAGATTCAGGGAACAAAAAACCTTGTTGTGGATAAGCACAAAAAAACTTTGAAAAGGTTTTGACAATCAGTTGACCAGCAATTGAGGTGATATTAATACTGAAGCACTAATTTAAAAAATTGGCCATTTTTTAAATGTTTGTGTAGTGGAAATTTTTTTAGCAAAATGCAGCTAGTCTGATAATCAGCTGACCAATAACAATATAAGTAAAGAATAATTATCCTCAGGCTCTGAGAGTGTTGTCATATAATACCCGTGATAAAGCAGAGGGAATTATTCAAGAATATTCCCCTCACTTTGTGCTTATAATTGTTAAATATTTGGTTTGTTACCTTGTGATAAATAAACACCTTTTTTTTGTCTCAGTGTTAAATAAATCCAAATTCGTCATTTAGCTATTATTATGTCATACAAGTATACTTATATTACCATTTTTATCCTCAGGTAGGCTACATATAAATAGGATAAAAGTTAGGGGTGCAGCCTAAATGCAGGTAAAAGTGTTTTGGCACCAAGTCTCCTGCCTCCAAACAATACATCTTGGACCATATTAAGACTGCAAGTTTCCCTTTTTTTAACTGAGTGAAATATAGATATGCAGCAGTCAATTTCTTGAATTTTGAAAAGCACATGATTATTGTGGTCTGTTGAAGCGTTTAAAAGCTTATCCCCATCAATCCAGATGTTTATGTTGACATAAGATTATTGAATCAAATCAATCAGGCAGTAACCTTAAACTGTTCCCACAGCTCGTTTTCACATCAGTTCACAAACAATTAAAATTACTTGAGATAGTGTTGGATTTGCACTTAAAACTCCAATAATTTTTTGTTCAACGATACCTGAAATAAACTCTAAAAAAGTGTAAGGTGAAAATTTACATGTTAAAGGTTAGAAATGATTGAAAGTACTAAGGTAAATCTGGAGGTGTTTTGAGTCTAACTTGGTGAGATTGCTCTGAAAGCTTCAAAATAGTCACAGAACCACTCAGTGCCATTACCTGTTTCTTATTGTTCTGTTACTCATTACTCTGTATAGCAAACTATGGCTTCTTGTTAATTTTATTCTAAGCCTGGTTAATAAAACTATTACAATTTTTCGTTGTCAATGGGTTTCATCGGGACAGCTACACTCACTATTTCTGATTGCAATTCACTGATCGTTATTTCCACCAGAATTAATCAAAAGTTTGGGGTGGCTTATTGGTGAGTAAATACAGTTCCCTTTGCACTTGGGCAAGACTTCAAGTACAACATTATGCCAACAATTCTTGACTTCCATCATGCTATTCTGCTCTAACTTGAATAATCAAAACAGCTGCAAGATATTAGAAATCCTGGGAGATTACTGGAATATAGCCTGTATGGTAAATGCTGTACATTTGAAGGAAAAAACTAGTAAAGATGTGGATAAAGATCCAAATGAAAAAAGAGATGAATATGACACTCATCTGGAAACAGAGACCTAAACTGTGGAACTTGCTGAAATCTCTACACACTAGGCAATAATCTGCCAACAAATTGGAAGAACCTGGAGGGACTGAAGTACTTGACTGGTAACTGGATGGTCCTCAAGAAGAACTAGCTTGTTGCTGCCAGCGATGCTTATCCTTAACCACTTTCCTCTCCGCTCTCCTCTCTGCTTGAAACATTTTCATCATCAGAGCTTGTCAGAGAGATATTTGTTGACTGTAAGCCAACCAAACCTGCACTTATTAGTTAGAATTATGGCCTTTATTCTTTTTCAATACTAAAGCGGTACCTTCTTTCAGGGCACATTTTGCTTTCTCCAAGGAACTACTTCTCAAGGGGTTCAAAACCTAATCCAACTTATCGGGAACTTGAAACTCATGATTAAGTTGTTGTAGGGTTCTCTTCCAAACAAATGTATAGTTCTCATGATGAGCCTTCCTCATGGCTTGCTTAACTGTAGCTCTGTTACTCTTAGAAAAACCTTGAGCAAAACTGGCTAGCATTGATTTTACATGTAGCACTTGCATTAAGTTTTCTGTTGAAGAGCCAGTCAACATTGAAAAAGCAGATTTGATTACTATGAATGGATGGATCCAATATGGATCTTCTTCTGCTGTGTCCACGAAGCGAGATGCTGGGAGTTCGTCCATGTTAGAATTAACTGCAGTGCAGAGGTGTTCATAGACTCTCAGAATTAATACTCAATTACTTGACACTTATGTACTGTTATTCAAATAACTTAACACTTAAGAGAGATACCAAAACACTCACTAATAAGTACAAATTGGCATTCAAGACATGAAAAAGAAAAAATCTGCTCAACTTCACAATGCAGATATTTTGATATTTCAGTAAGGACAATTCTTTTTACATTTTCCATCTTGTTAACAGCACAAGTTAAAAACAAAGCATTTTTATTTTCAACAAGGTTGTAAAGTTATTGATCTATTTAACTTTTCTTGCTGTGTAGACCAGGAATGACTGAGCAACTCAGGATGGATCATATCATTGAAGAGGTTTGTTCTTTTTAATGAATATGTTTGTAAATTTTTATTCTAACACACATGGCTTTTGTAATGATGGCTGGCAAAGGGCCTTCATTAGTTAAATGTAACTTAAATAACACAAACAGCGAGCAAAATCTAGTTGTGGAGATCTGAATTGGGTTTCAACCTTTAATGCTTTGTTTTCAGTAAACCTACTGTTGGTGACAAAATTGTTGACACATTGACCTTTTTAACCCCCTATTCCTTCAATTTTATCTCTTTTGCCCTTGTTAGTTAACCTATTCACCTACTCCCCAAAACAATGTTGTATAGTGTTTCCATGAACCTTAAGCTAGATACAGGCAACATTGAATGAGGGAAGCGAGGTTCTTGTCAATGATATAGAGTGTGGTAGAGACAGGAGTGTTATTCTACACATAAATAGAACTCTTCAAATAAGTTTCAACTCATTTTGATGCTGATTGTAGCTTGGAATTGCATTAACTTTCTCTTGTATCAAACATTTATCTCGGTGGTATTCTCCAGGCTGTTGACAAAGAGCTTATCAACAGAATGCAAGAGATGAAAGACACTGTAAGCAGTTTGTCAAAAGAGATAAAATTATGCAGGCCAAAATCCACCACAACTACCAACAAATGGGCACTTTTAGCCAACAGACCCACACATTCCAGGCATCTATGAAGATGTGGTCCAGAGTTGACCAGGAAAACCAAAGAAGAGGAAGTGATGAAACAACAAAAGCTGAAACTGTGTTGGTTGCACACCAAAAAAACAGAAGTAGCTGTTAAATCAATTTGGAAATGAGATTACACTTCTCGATGCTATTTACAAGATGGTGAGATATGACTTGCCACTATTCTTTCTGGTTGTTAAAACCAATGTGAACTGTGGAGGGATGGGCTCTTTCATTATTCAAAGTGAAACGTTACAGCTGCAATATTAGGACTGTTAGCAATCTCTAATTATGAAAATGACACTTGGAAGCCCTGATATTTTTTGACAGACTTTTGTCTTGAGAAAATACAGACAAACACAATCAAGCAAACATTCACAGGTAGGGAATTAATAATAAAGATTGAAAATGCGCTAACTTCTGAAAACAACAGCAGTCATTTCGAGGTTGCTTAATCAATGCACCTGTTTGGTGCTGTAGATTTGCATTGTAGATGCATTATTTTTGCACTTCTTATAAAGACTCTAAACAACTAACACAAGTCCTAATAAATGGCACCTTTGTATGCTTTCACAAATGCGGTGTGCTACAAATGGACCCCACACATCTGTGACTTTCTCTGTTAGCACTGGTGATGGGAAAGGAAACTGGGGAAGACTAAAAATGGAGGTTTTGACTTTGGTTTGTGCTGTTACGAAATCAACATCAAAGGATTAATTTTAGAAAAATGTGATTTCCCTACAGGACAAAAGCCTCTGGATGGCAAATCCAAAGCTGAAGAACTGGTTTGATAAAACATGGTTGGCAGAAGCAAAGGTAATGATTATTTCACTCTGTTTACATGGCTTAGCACTGCTGATAGTAACATGTGAGACATCACTGTTTTATTAACCCATTGACATCTGATGCGCCCTCATGCGCCCAGAAATAAAACCCCTCTGAAATTCCAATGTGCCCTTATGTGCCCTGTCAGAAATGGCTTGTTTTTATTGGCTGTAGCTTAGAAACAAAACTCCCCTGGGCATTGAAAAGCAGTGAAACGTGACATACAAAAAATAAGGTTTCGTTTGAGACCAAACTCACTATTCCACATTTACCATGGGATTTTTCACAAATTTTTCAAAAATATGTTGTGGTCTAAGATATGGCTTCTGGAAGAATTGATGAAAGTTAATTTTCATCTGATGAAGAGCAAGAAGTCTTCGCTGGTTTTATCATCGAAGAAATTGAAAAAAGCGACAAGCTCGTCAAGCACAGCATGAACAAAACTTGCTTTGCAATGTGGATGACGAGATGGAAGACTTTTTCGACCTACGAATGAAATGCATCAACTAAGAATAGTGAAAGGAAGAGAAATGTCATAATTCCTAATTTCTCAGTTCTGACCATTTTCTCCAGCTTATAACATTATTACTTTGCATATATTTCTTAAACAGGAAACTCTGAACTACTTAATTTTTAATTTTTTATTTAGGGTTAAGGAAGTGCTTTAATTAATTAGAATAACATAATGATCTGAGATACCAACATGTGATCTTTGCTATGTAGGTGATGAATGTGGGCATATAGACAAGACAGGTTTATGGTCTATATCATCACCAATAATGGCATTGAGTCTTAGACTGAATCTTTAAAATATCATCACCTCAAAGATCACAATCCTAACAGTCTAGCTGGAATGATAACAGTACTGAACTAAGAGATCTGGTGTAACAAACACCAAAGGTAGGTGCCAACATAGCCAACAATGATGGCAATTATGTGAAATGTATGTTATTGTGTGAAGAAAAAAAGTAGCTGATTGAAAGGATTCATGGCATTAGTGAATTATGATAAGATTGCCTCTGATGTAGCAGCTCCTTCTGATTCTTGGGTTCTTTGTGACGACTTGAGATTTAAAGGGACATCATCAATCAGAATATATTTATTCAGTTAAGAAATAACATGACATCCATACTGAGTTTTTATTTCTGTTGCTTGTTGTGAGTTACATTACTAAAACAGTTGTACACATTCAAAGAATAATGAAGAGTGAACACGTAAGAGTTAAGGTACATTTAAAGTGCTCTGAATATTCCTTCTCTTATGCATTGAAAATATACAGATGGTGAACTAACTTACAGTTCATTTTACTTGCCTTGTCACTTTCTGATATGTGCAGTCCCTTGTACAATTTCAGTATACTTTAAGTATACTTCAAGTATACTTTTTCTGTACTTTCCAGAAACGAAGTACATTTGAAGTATACTAATTTAGACTTCAACAAAAAAAGTGTAAATGAAGTTTATTAAGCAAATTGTAATAAATGTGCTTTATTTGTACTTAAATGGGAAAAGTATACTTCAAGTATACTTTCCTAAACCTTGGAATTTGCAAAAAAGTTGCCATAGAAAATAAAGTATACTTTGTGTATACCTTTAAAACTTAATTACAGACAATCTGGCCTGCAAGTCTACAATCTTGAAATCTCTACACAGATCCTTTAAAACTGAAATACTTAAAGCACTAAATTTAATATATGTTCAAAAACCATTCCAAGAAAGAAGATTTTAAATCAGTAGAACACAACTGTCAAGAAGCCACAGGAGCTGTTTCTTGCAAAATGTCATTAGAAGAAGTGCCGTAACAAGTTGTATGCTTTTTGTAAGCACTCAGGTGAAACTGAAATCTGATCTAATAGCCAGATTGCTTCCACAAGAAGAATAAAATGCTGAAATATTCATCAAGCAAAATATTCCACAGACATGGGATGCCATAAAAAACAAAAACGACTGGAATTCAGAAGCCTTCCAATGAGAAAAATCCTTCACAATGCTTCTTGGTGTTCTTGAATTGCAGTTGCGTGGTGTAATATTAAGCAAGCGCCTCTCAACTTCATCCAGTCTTTTGCTTACAGCCATTAAAGTGACCAGCAAAGGAAATGATCCCTAATTAAGGAAGTTCTTGATTGTTAAACAAATTATCTTGAACAGTGTGAATGGAGATTAATCGTATTGGTGTGAGGATGTAAAGGGCTAAGCTTGTCTTCGGACTTTTCTTTTGTGAAGTTGATCATACCTACAAAGATGTACCAATATTCATTACCATATTTTGCTTTCTTGTTCAAAAGCTTGACCTTTGAACCTGAGGCGATGCCAAGGGAAAATGTTACCTGTGAATGAAAAGTCGACAGCCACTAGTGATGTGATTCTCAATAAAGCTCTAACAAAACTTGCTCATCACAAAAGAACCCATGAAGGTTTAGACTTTATTCTGCTTTCCCCTGACCAGATTTGGGTGACAAATTTATCTCGTACAAAAAAGGTTTTGAAAAATGCACAATTGTATTACTAGTTCAATTTTTTTTATTGCAAGTAAAGTGACTTTTTGTTCTCTGAGTTATCATTTTCTTAAGAAAGTGACAATTAGTTGGAAGATCAGCCTAGTTGAAGCGATGACAAAACGCAAAAAAATGATGAGGAACAAGTGTTCAGAAAAGACCCTGCAAGTAAAGATTCAGTGTTACGTACAGTTGAGATCATCCCTGACAGCAATTATGTGGAATGACCCACATATTGTTTCATTTTTCCTGTAATTACAATTATCACAAAACTTGCAGATGTGTGCTACAATGTTTGGGTGCGCAATGTATCAAATGATGGAAAGCAACAAAATTCAAATTGTGCGGATGAAGGAAGAGAAGTTTGCATAATAGATCCAGCTCTACAGGTTACTCAGCCTGAGACCAAGGAAAGCATCAAGGGTATCCTTCATGGGTTGCTCAACAACGTTATTCATTCTAGTCAGAATGAATATCCGGCAGAGGCACATATGGAAAGATATTAAACAGCCTCGATGAAATCGGCTACGAAGTCGTTGAAAGCTATCGTCAGTTAGTCATGAAAGCACTCTTAAAGGAGCAGCATTAAAGGTAAATAAATTAAAAATTTATTTTGCAATTTTTAAGAGGGGGTATCGAATATTTATCGGC